AAAAGTCTCTTCTTTATGTTTCATAAAATTGAGCACATCCATTTTTGTTCAGTGCTTTTTTTGTGTGAATACAAGCAACATCAGCCAACTTCTTTTTCTGAAGTAGCATCTGCTATTTGTGCAAAAGACACTTTAAGGCACAAAGGTTAAAGGCAGACAAAAAATAATCGTGAGTGAAATTGTGCTCATTTCTCCTTCTCATTATTGTAGAAATATATAACCTACAAAAAATTGTAAGTTGCTTACTATTTTCTGCAAGCACATTTGGATCTCTAAGTAAATTGATGTTTTTAGTTGTTTAGATTGTTTTGGGGAAGGCTACATTAGTCTTGACCCTCTAGTATGTAGTTTTCCTTGTCCTTAGTTATCATTATTGTATTGATGCATTTAACCAGACCTTTAAACATACTGTTTTTGTATATTGCATCCTTCTGTAATGGAGATTGATTTGTAGTAAGAAGATGATACTCATGGCATTTATTTTTTAAATTGCATTTTTCCTTCCTATTGAGAATTGCTTGGAATTCTAAAATATTTTTTTTAATTTAGGTGGATCATATGGCAGAAGACAGTCATTTATTTTTGTTGATTTGGCTTCCTATATGAATCTAATATATAAAGTTATTTGATTTCCCATAAAACTCCCAATAAGCATTTTTAAAGCACAATTTTTCTCGACTTTCTTCTCAAAAATAGCTGATTTTAATATGTGACTGAAAGTAGGCAGTCAAAAGAGAAAATGGGATTTATTGCTTTTTATATAAACCTAAGGAACCCTAGGTTTAAACCTTAAATTTGGGTAGCAACTTAGATTTAATTTCTTCTGTAGCTTGGATGTAGTTAATAGGACTTTGAACTCATCATTTGTACATAGCCCTGTTGGTCTCTTCTCTTCCCCAACACACATTTTTTTGTTACATATTTGTGTTTGTTTTTTATCTTTTTTTCTATTTTCTCTTTATTTGATTGACTTTTGAACCCAGGTAGGTAGGATAAGGCTGTTTACTCCACTGTCTCTCAGACACTTTCCCACATAATAGCCACCAGCCACATGCGGTTATTCAGCATCTGAAAATAGGATTGGTCTGAATTCAGATTGCTGTAAATGTAAAGTACACATGGCATTTCAAAGACTTGGTAGAAAAGAATAAAATAGTTTTATTAATAATTTTTATGTTAATTACATGTTAAAAGTAGAATATTTTATATTATATATTGCCTTATATATTCTTCCCAGTTTACTGGAGTTCCCCAGTGGGGAAAAGAGGAGAGAGTTGCTGACAGTTAAGCCTTTCAGTGAGACAGTGAGGGTATTGCTGCTCTCCTTCCTGAACTCTTATGTGTCCTAATAAACCTTACAAAAAGCAATAGTAGAGTATTGAGCTGAGGGTTGTTCCTGGCTTTGCACTTGCTGCCTCATGGCTAGAAGATTTAAAATACAAACCAGTATCTTTATATTACATGTTTTTCTTTAACTTCTATCACTATTAAATTCCATTATATTTACATTATGGCAGTGGCTTTGGCTTATTTATAGTCAAGTATATAAAGGGGCAAGGCAAGTAACAAACGAATGAATCCATCCTATCTTAAACAATGTGAAATGATATATGTCCTGTGTAACAGGTATATGTCATCTCTGGAGGGTAAACCTGATTCCTGTTCAGCTGATTATTGCCTTGTTAGGAGTTCATGTTGCCAGATCTTTCAGGTTTTTAAGAGGAGCCACAAATCTGGATTTTTAAGAATTTGAAATCTCCCAATTTTAAAATACTGACAAATATTATAAGATGTAAAAATATTTATGCTGTCAAACTAAATATAACTGTGGTTTAAATGGTACTGCTTTAGAACTTTGGACTTAAGGAGATACTGCTTGGAAATAAATAAAGGTTTTAGGTACTTTAGATGACCTAATTAAAGTATACCAGTTAAGAAAAGAGGATTACAGTCACCTGCTGATGAATGGTTTTTAAATTTCACACCTTTTAGAGAATATTAATTTCAAAATAATGGATAATTGAGAAATAGTATGTTTCTCTGTATTTTTTGAGTATACTTTTCTAGGATAGTTTTATTTTCTGTAGGGATGTTTTCCTGCTCCTTATTCTCTTATTTATTTTTCTGTTGCTTGTTATAATGTGAATTTAGTTTTCCTCAACATTTAGAAGAAGGCTGTATCAGGTTGCTTTTTCCACTTTACAGAGCTCCCTTTTCTGGTGTGTGTGTTTGTGTGTGTGTGTGTGTGTGTGTGTGTGTGTGTGTGTGTGTGTGTGTGTACTGTTCAGGAATATGGTAGCTTGCTTCCTGGCTCTGCTCCCCTCCCCCCACTTTTATCTGGGCTTCCTTTTTCCTTTATCTCTGTGGTCCCTCTCCTGCTCAGTCTTGACCCCACTCCCAGCAATTTCTCCTTAGTGTGGCCTCTGTCTTTCAGTGGAGTCTTGGAGCAGTTGTTTGGAGAGTTCACAGGGGCTAGATTTCTGCAGCCCCAGGAGAGGCCTAGAGGTAGTCCTCCCGTGCACTCACCAAGTTGAAGTTGAAGCATTTGAGTCCCTGTTTTTTTGCTCGTCAGCGGGGGTCTGCTCTTAGCTGTTGGAGGCCAATTTCATATTCTTATTATGTGGTCCCTCCATATGTAGTTTACAACATGGCTGTTTCTGCTCTCAGGGCAGCAGGAAGATCTCTCAGAAACTTCATCCCCTTGCAGTAACATACCCAGATTAGGCTAGGTCCACCCAGAATAATCTTCCTTTTGATTAACTCAAACTCAAATGATTAAGAAATTTATTTACTTCTGCAAAATATTTTCTGCCGTATCATATGACATAATCATGCAGGTGATATCTTGATATATGTAGGTCTTTCTCAATTTAAGAGGTGTGGATTATACTGGGTATATACACCAGGGGGGCTGAATTCTTGGAGGTCATTTTAGAATTCTGTCTACCATAATTTGTATTCTATTTTTAATTGCTCTAAAAGGTAACATTACCTAAAGCAAAAAGAGTAATGATATGTTGTATGTTTATGGCATATAGAAAAAATCAATCTATATTACTATTGTCATTATATATGTACATATACACATATTCTACACACACACACACACACACACACACACACACACACACACACTAGAGTAACCTAAACCCTTCCCAATTTCAGCTGCTATCTCAAATTGGCCCACAGCACTTTCCAGTGAACACCCGATGGCTGTTTGGGATTCTCCAGTTTTCAGATCTCTTACATGCTTTATGGCTTCCCTCTGCTTCCTTCTCCTTCTACACTGATACTGATAATATGCAGGTCTTGAGGCTATTGATGATTCATGGAGAACACTTTTCCACATAGTTATGTTGTGAATGTTTCCCTTGGGTTTGGGATCTGCTGTCCATTTGCTCCATCTGTTTTTTTTTTTTTTTTTTTTTTT